CATTACGTGTGCGTTGGCTTCATTGATTCCCGCCGCTGTCTATAACGAACGACCATGTCGAGGAGTTAGTAGTATTGGAAAACAGGCGCGGTGATTGGCGGGAACGGGGCACAGGTTTGCCATTCCTTACAACTCAAAGGGTGTATGAATTGCGTCACGGTAATAATCTGACACGAATAGTCCGTCATTGATCAAGGTGTGGGGAAATTAAAAGCACGTGTTTCGTCAAATCACGATTTAATTTTCGACAGCGTATTCACTAAGAGGACGAAAGAAAAGCAGACTTGTCTTTCCAATGATGCAATGTATTTTGAGTGACTAACAATCTCTCAGAGACAACCCCCCTCGTGGCAGCAGGAATTTGATAATCTGCTCGAGCCCCTACCATGGGGAACCATTAGAACGACACCTAATATAAGGTGCTGAGTCCAATTTGAATTTTTTTCCCAGTATGCAGTACTTCAAACGCAAGCAAGTCATGACTAATTTGCTTTTTCCAGCGCAATTCCAAAAACGCAAGCACAGAAAACACAAAAAGAAACAAACTCTTGGCTGAGCAAACACTAGCTTCTGCTTCACCCCGGGCAAACCTGAAGAAGACTTTCGCGGCATCCTCTGATCCTCTGCTGATCGGGTACCGGCGCGGGGCGCGGCTGCTGGGTTTAGCAGGTACCGACCGAGGTGGAGCAGCAGGCCAGAGAGCCTTTCGCGCCGGATCTTCATCGGCTTTCGCCTCCGTTGTTTCTCTTTCACTCGTCGCCCCCCCCCCCTCCCTCAATCTAATTTATGGATAAAACAAGAGCGAGGATGCTGCGCGCAGCCCTAGGTGGGCAATAACCAAACTTCTCCGCCCGGCACAGGAGCAAACAAGGCCCCCCTGCTCCTACCGCCCCTCCCCTCCCCGCCCCCCGCGCCCCGCACACACGCCAGAGCTATTCACCCACATGACACACAATGAAAAATCTCAACACACACGTGTGGGCGCCAGACTGGAATTTAATATTCATCGCCTTCTCTTTCCTCGCGTTTTCATAATTGTTTTTTTTTTCGTGGAGTACCCGACTAACTCCCCCCCGCGCGCGCGCGAGCGTGTGTTGCCGCGTCACGCTGAACACACCGCCGCGGTCGTACGGCCCACTGTACTACAGCGCGCCGCACGCTTCTTGAAGGGACCCAGGCCCGCGCCCCGTATGATGGATGAGTGGCTAATTCAATTCGGACAGCGTCAACCTCAACCCAGTCTGCTCGCTGGGCTTATTGCTCGCTCAGGCTGGGGCCGCCACCGCCGACCCTCTTCCTCCCTCCATGGCTCGACGTCGCGGCGTGGCGGGGCGTGGCGGGGCGTGGCGGGGAGAGGCACGGGAGGGGCCCGGGCGGGCTGGCGCGACGGAGGCTCAACGCATGCTCCTCTCCGGCCAGCCCCCCGGATATTAAAATTTCAAATCCCAGCGACTGGGAGGCCGCCACTTAGGCACACCTGAGACACGACAAGGTTACTTGTTGTTCCTCCCAGCATACGGTTCCATTGTACTCTTTTCCAGCTCCCCCACCATCCTACTTCCGTACTTCTTGTTCCCCTTCACAAAGCAGCAGCAGCAGCATCACGCAGAAACCTTTATGCTGATGAGTGCTTAGTACTGGTTTGGGTGGTGCGGCGACGGAGGCGGCGCCCACACAAAAAAAATAATCAAAAAATAAAATAAAAATAATATTATCGATTCAATCTCGTGCTGCTGGGAGCGGGCGGTCTGGCTGTGGTTTAATTCAACGGAATATAGATTGGGCCTCCACGACCACCACCCTTCCCCCCGTATCCCCGCGGTTGCACAGGCATCTCGTCACGCTACCCCCCCCCCCTTCCCTCTCTTATGTAACCCCCAACACCCAGCCCCCTATTCTTGGGATAA